TGTAAAGAAATGTTTAGGAAAGTATCAGAGTCACTCTGTAAAGAATTCTTCATCCTTGTGTGGTTGTGTTTTGAAGAATATCACAGTCAGGTAAATCTGGTGTAAAAAAAAAAGGGAGGGGGTTTCCTCCTCAAATTGAAATCGCAATTGCACCCACTTTCAATCCATCTTTCCCCCTCTCTCAGTATCAAGATTAGATAGGAAACAGTTGAGGACATAGGAGCCTTTTTATTCCCAGTTCAACGACAGACTGCGCATAGAAAACAAACAAGCAAATAAAGAGAGATGGGAAGGTCTCCCTGGAGAGGCAGACTCATGACACCAATATGCGAGGAAAGAGGCAGATTTTAAAAGTGCCTTATTCTGCAAATAAGGGGAGAACCGGTGCTCCTTTGGTGATTTACAGGATGCGATTTGGAAGCAGACTGGCAGAAGGGAGGAAGGTGGCGAGGAAGCCACAGTTGAAGCCTTGTTCATATGACAAAAGTGAAAGAAAATCTTATTAAAGATGTCAAAACATTTAAATTGGCAGTAAAATAACATTGGCAAAAAATAAGAAAAGTTTAAGTTACAATTCCTGTAAGACATAACAGGGATTAACAATGATCTAGTGGCACTATGGGCCTGCTCAGTGACCTGGGAAATAGGTTTCCTTTTTCTTGATGATTTTAGGGGGAAAAAAAAGAATAAAAAATGTCAGAACCAAAAGGTGAGTGGAGAGGACGCAAGTCATTGTGCAAGGGAAGTTACAGGAATGGTGGCAAAAAAAAAAAAAAGAGCAGCATCCTGAAGCCTGGAGGGGTCACAACTAACCAGGTCAGCATTTCATACATGTCACTTCCTGTCGGCCTCAGCGAGAGGAGTGTGGCTGTGGTGCGGCGTGGCATGGTGGCCGGTGGGGAAGAGGGCCTGTCCGACTGACACATGAGGTTACACAGCAGGCAAATGGACAAAGGCATGGACACGAGTGACGCTCTGCTCTCCCGGGATTACTATTCGACTTTTCATGTCAAAATATAATTGTCCAGATTTATTCCATGCAGTTTTTTATACATTTTCAACATATAAATACTAATGACGATGGTAAATTTTAGGCAGAGTTTTCAGATGGCTGTGCAAATTTCAAGAAAGAAAAAAAAAAAAAAATCATCAGCTCAAATGAGGCATGAAAGATAACAGAATGATAATAGACATAATCATGTGCAAAGGTAAAAAAATAAAATAAAAAAAATGAGGCTCATCTTGAACTTAGTCACTTTCCCATGTTGGCCAAGATCCATAAACAAGTGGTATTATCTTATAAAGTATAACATCCCAAAATATAAACAGATACGCAATACCATAAACATGTCTGATAAAGAACAGCAAGTATTTTTCTCAGGATAAATGGCTGCCGCCTATCAGCTCCGTCTTGCTCTGCCTCTATGCCCTGTGTTAATGCTGCTGTTTGACATTGCAAGCAGCAGGCTCTTTTCTCCCCTCCCAGCAGCCTCGGTGGACGCCGAGCTTTAGCCTAATTGGTTCCAGAGCAGACCCTGACAGAACCCTCCTCAGCGGCATGCAGCCATATTAATACCCCCCGCCACAAACACAGACGCACACACAAACAACAAAAACAAGCACAGCAATCAGCGACTAACTCGCTAATTAACGCCCTTACAAAGCATCTCATTAGCATGTGCTGTACAATGGGGCAGTGGGGGAAATGAGCATTTTGGATTAGCAAAAAGGGAAGAAATTACAAAATAAGACAGTGGAACAACAGTGAATCTGTGCGCGTTGTATTCCACTCAGGGGGCCAAGGGCTTTGGTTGGCCCACAAAGCAGCACCCTGATTCTCTGGGGAATCCATTACAGCTCTCTGAGGAAGACATTGGAGGGAAGATAAGCATAATTTTAAAAGCAATCGGTAAAAAAACTAATCTCCGGCACGCAGGCAAACGCTTTAGTTGTTAACCAGCAACTTAACCTGCTAGTGCTGTGAGTGGAATGGGAGATGGAAAGGTTAGGGGCCACGAGAGAAAGTAGGCAGTTACAGCAAAGGCCAAGAGCTGCAGAGATGAAAGGCTTGAATCCTAGTTAAAGCTAATATAAAGAGAGAGACGCCGGGATGTAAAACATGTTGTGATTAATGTAGTTAATCAGTGTTTCAGGCTATACAAACATATGTATGTTTTGGCTTTAGTTTTGGTTTCACTGCTTCACACTGTGGTTTTCATGTTACTTCAATTAATATATATATATACACACACACAGAAACTTTTTAACCTCATGAAGGCAGTGAGAATCAGACCCCTTCTCTGTCTTTTCGAATTCCCCAACATCCTGCAGGAAAGGTCTGACCTGACAGCTGCAATGAGACAGCGACGGAGATCAAATACAATGTTATCTCTGTTAATTCTATGCAGAATTAATTAGTTTTAATCTGAAGAGCAGCAAGGATAACTCATGAAAACCGTGGAAGAAGGAGGGGGACATACAGCTCAGGTGGGAGAATTTGTAGAACGACCAACTACAACTTAAGTAGTCCACTCCACCGGTTTACGGTTTGCCACAGGCCACACAGGGGAAGCGTCAAACCTAAAGGAATGTCTTCTGGTCTGAAGAAACCAGAAATAAACTTTTTCACTTGAAATCAAAAGGGCTGTTAGCGGAAGAACAAGCATAGTGGTGGCAGCAATATGGTGTTGGAGCTGATGGGAAATACAGGCCAAACCCTGCTACGTCAGAACAATTTAGCTCAAAGGCTTTTCATGTGTTGGAAGGGCCCAGTCAAATCCAAACCTAAATCTAATTGAGATTCAGTTACTAGAGTTTAGGACTGATGTTTGCAGACAGTGTTTATTCCGTCTGGCTGACCGTGATAAATTTTAAGATGAGAAAAGGGCAAAGATTTGAATTTAGAATTTGCAAAGCTAATACAGAGATTTCCCTAGGGCCTTACAGCGGTAACTACAGCAGAAGATATGTGCACGCTTCACTTTTTCAGACTTTCGTTTTTGTAGAAACTATGCATCATTTTCCCTTAATGCACTATTTTGTGTTGTTCTACCACATGGAACATGCAAAAAAAAAATCTCTGAAGTTAGTGGCAAGACAAAATATGAATATTTTTGCAAAACACAATTATAAAAGAAGTTGTCAAAAATATAAACATTTAAATGTGTCAAATAAAAGAAAAACTTCTCATTTAGAAACTAGTCAGAGAGGTGCAACAATTGCTTTAAATATTCCCGGACGTTCTGTTAGCTGTTATTGTCTTGTGCTGTACTGAACACAGCGCTGTTTGCTGGGAAGAACGAGCCCTCTGACCCGCTCTTCCTAGCCGTTCTGACCTGCCCGTTATCCGTCACGAAACCCACTAACATACCACACTGTCAGAACACGGGGGCGGCGCTGTGCCACGCCGCCCTAAACTTCGAGTAAGCAATCACAGTCGCCTCCAAGAAGCGACGCAAGCGACAGTCAGACACAGAATAAGAGGAGAGCTTCACGTAATAGTAAGCAGGCAGTTAGAGGTCAAAGGTCGCCCGCAATCGGGACGCCGGCTTCACTTCTGGCAGCCAGAGTGGAACTCTGCGAGGGACCTGGAAGTAGATATGATGACCTTTTCTGCAGAGGACCCCTAAAATATACTCACTTATCAAAATGACCTTAACATAGGAGCATGGGAAGGTAAGCACAGGCCATCCATCACCTTAAAGATTAATCCTCCTCTCTATTCTTCTCCTGAATCTATTAATAATGTCGCCAAAGGGGCAGAATTTGTGGCCAAGATTTATTCTGATATTGTGACTTTAATTCATTAGCCTCTAACAGGGGGGATTCCTGAGAAGGAAGAGCGAAGGCAGCTTCAGAAATGCTAATTTAATGCTCTGAGAGCCAGACTCTTGATTCGATTGTTAAAATTTGTGAGAAATTTGCACACGCAACATGCCAATTTACCACAAAATGAGAGATTATCATTTACGCTCAAGAGGTCACACTTACTTATGCCTTAAAAGCTGCTTCCATTTGTTAATTTAGCCACATTAAGTATCTGGGATGAATCTGTGGCAGGTGCAAAGCTTGAAAATCAATTGTAGCACAGAATCTGGTACCGAGAGCTTTTCCTCACTCATTTAAACAAAGCAGTGGATTTCACACTGCGGAGCAGCACTGACAGCCCCAGGGGCATACTTCAATTAGAGACTTTGGCGAGTTTAAACACTGTAGATCTACTCACGCTTAAAGGCGTTTGTCTCCCGCTCTACACCCCCTCCCCCCCCACCCCTCCAACTCCCCTTTTTTTCTCCTCCCTCTCAGCCTTTCTTCTCATATCTGTGCCAAGCACTCACTCTCCTCCATCTTCAAGTCCTGCTCTCTGTAATCAACCCTGCACTAATAGCTTATTCTTTCTGCTCCAGCACCCACATTTCGCTTGTTTATTTTCCCAAACTCGTAAATCTGGGCACATGTCACAAGTGCAGCGATATTAGAGCAATAATCTCAGGTAATTATCAGATGCCCTTTCACATTTACTCCCTCCCTCCCTCCGCCTCCCTCCATCCCTTTAACTCTTGCGCTACGGAGACACAGAGGAATCAGCATTGCTCCAGAGAGCTGTGTTTGTCTGAACTTAACCCTTAGTAAGTCTTTTTTTTTTAAAAGGCATGCAATTTTTTTTTTCCATTCATTCCAAATTTATTTTCTCATTCAAGCAATTTATATAACTCTAAATGACAATTATTTTTGCAGAAAAAAGAATTCTGTTAACATCTCAAGAGCTTTAATCAGCAAACGCTGTCAGATTTCTAAACTTTAGGTCAGTTTTCTCCAGATCAGAAGTGTTTACTAAGCCGATAACTAAGCCTTCATTGTGAAGCATTTCCGGTCATTCAAAAATATTAAAATAGTTAAATAAACTGGTCCCCATCTCACAGCTCATGTCTGCTTAAAGGTTTCTATAAAGGTAATATAGTCAAATCACAAGTCTCGTTGACAGATGCTGTCCTACTCACCCACTCCTGCTGTATGAGGCTAACGGCCTTGCTGGCCCGGGACAGGTTTCGACACGCCAGGATCACATGACCTCCGTGAAGAGCAAAAGACCTGGCCGTCTCAAAGCCTGAGACAGAAGAGAGGAGACAAAAGTAGGAGGTAGTAAGAAAAAAAAAAAAAAATTGAAAAGCGAGCATTTCTTCAAAGATTAGTTTCATTTTGAAAATATCTTTGATTCTACGCGGCTGAATCTAATGAGGTGGTGGAGGGGTGTGTGGGTGCAAACTAAAGTCTTCATCAATTTTCCATATAATTTATTTTATTGAGTAGCTCAGTGGTCTAGCAGTGGGAGTTAATCATTTCTCTCTGAAGTGATGAAACTGATTGAATCATTGTGGCTCAAGACTTCTCCCTCTCATCTCAGATCAGGTTTTGATTCTGGCCCCGGGAACCCGTCGCTGCTCGCACCGGGATACGAGAGGGTGGGAGGGGGAAATCAGCTGTTAATTATGTTAATAATTACGCAGTGATGGCAGTAATTAAGAAAAAATGGTTTATAATGAGAGAAGGCAAATGAAAACAGACATGCCGTTCAAACTAAATCACAGTGTGATATTCCAGCACATCAAACGGGGCTCTGATAAGTGCGTTTCTCCCATGAAACGAGGGTCTGCAGATACCCGCAGAATTTATCAGTCCGACTCCGCTTCATGGCTCCATCCAAATCATGTAGCCATGATAAAACTGACAAAAACTGGAGATAGAGAGAGAGAGAAGTTCATTTCTAAATTACAAGTCTAAATGGGTCATTTCATCCCGTAGGTTGAATTAATTTATGAGATCAACTTTTTCCCCTCGCCATATTTTTATTTCCTTTTGACATTTACTATCTCTCACGACATCGAGGAGAAGTTTGGCAGCACTAAGTCAGTCTAAACACAAACTGCTACACATTTATGTATGCTTAATAAGGGTGAGGCTCCTGACTGACAAACTGAGGGCCAGCGCAGTAGCCAGAGTGCATCAGAGGGTGAATTAATATGAACTGTAATTAGATTATATGTCTTAATCTGATTTTCATTAAGAGCAAAACTGGGAGGCCTAATTGTTAGAAGAGTGTTAAGGACTAATATCTATTAAAACTCAAAATTGGAATAGGACTGGAATCCCTCTCTGACAAGTGAAGCATGGAAATGAAATTATGTGACACCTTATTAGGTGTAATGGAGGGGACTGTGACTGAGAACAGAGATCGCTTCAGTGGTAAGAAATGGAAATAAAAATAAAAACAATGTGGCCAAAAAATATAAAAAAAAAAAAAATTGCAGACAGGGTAAAATGTGGCTTTATATTTGTAGCAGTAGCACCAAGAAGCTTTATTCTCAGAATTTTTATTTTACTCATTTCCAACCAGGCTCAGTTCAAGGAAAATAAGAGCAAATTCTTACGTCTTCAGCCACGGAAGCTCTCAATGTTCAGAAGCACCAAACAATAGCAATTAGACAAACATGCTTCAGCTTTTCAGGCATTAGAAAAGGAACAATTATTACCCTCTCTAACAGAAATACACTTCGTAAAGATACAAAACCTTCCAATGTATTATTTTTGAAATTTTGGACAACTTTTGAGCGATATGTTTGAAAACATTCAGACATATCTGGAGACCGCTGAGTAAGCTGACAGAGGGAGGACATACAAATGCTTTTATCCTGGCCAAATGTGGAGCCAGTCACCTGGAAAAACAACAATACTTTTTCCTGCTAATCATCTTTCCATTGGAAAAGTAACATTAAAACATTCCAGCGTTATAACACGTGGATAGAACCAATTAAATCTCTCAGACCTCAATTGGATGGGTAAATACATTTTCTGTGTTATTTATTTTATTATTATTGGTCTGATGTAATAGCTTGACCTAAAATACTACATTTAAAACTTTTGATTCAGGTATAAAGAGTATTTTTCAGAAGGGGAAAGCTTTGTTTTCTTCGAAATTATAGATTGTATGCATTCATATCTACAAAATTTACTTTATCAGGCTATTTCTCAAACACAGCTATAAACAAAACAGATGTTGGTTTGTTGTTGTTTTTTTTATGATCACATCTACCTTCAACTCAAGAGCGCTGAACATCCACAGGGGGAAAAGAATTATTAATTTAGATCAATTTACATCAATTATCTTAAAAGTTCTAAAACTTCTACTTTCTTTTCAGAAATACAGAATTAGATTATTTCTTAAATTAAAAAAATGAGAGATCACCATAGAGCCCTATAAATTAGTTTTAAAGCAGAAAGCTGGAGATTAATAGGATATATCACGTACCAGTTGAAGGTTATGTCTGGTCTTGTTTAGTAGTCTTTACGCAACATTTTATAGAACAATTTTTAAAAACACGGCATGATTTTTTTTAGCCTGTATAAATTGGACAAGAGTAGTTGCTTCTGGTAAACAACAACCGTTCACACTCACTTGTTGTGTGTACAAACCATGAAAGTGAAATTAATCGACACCAGTGTTTTCCATAATGGAGGACAAATTAGAATATGGCAGCGACAACGCCAGCCGCACCGGAGCCATGTATTTGCGATGACAAATAACAAGGGCTCGACATTAATTGTGAAATAACGAGAGCGGCGTTGCTGTAACAGGGACTCTCCGCCCCTTTGCCCATGTTACCGGTGGAGAGGGCTTGCAGTGAAATTAGTTCTTGGTCAGGTGTACAACGAAAGGATCCTGTTCAGGCATCGTACGCTCATGGTGCTACATGACAAGAGGTCAGGCGCCGGGTTTCTCCCACGCTCGTGGATCGACAGACGCCGTGAGCCGTTTTTGCGACACGCGGCAGGCCTCCCAGAATGCCGGCGCCGGTCCAGATTTGTTTTTGTCTAATTAGACACAAACGGAGCAACCCCAAACACGTGGCCTTAAGAAGCCAGGAGACCAAATGGAGAGCCTCTGATTGTGTGCTTGCTCGCTGTGGGGCTTCACGAGGTAACAGAAATACAGTAAATGGCTCGGCTGTTGTTGAAATTGTGTTTTACTGTAATATATAAAAAGCATAAAAATATGTAAAATGTCCATTAAGCAGTGAATGCTCTTCATGGTACATTAGGATCCTGGCCCCACTGATATCCCACAATAATGAGTGTGATTTAGTGATTTCACGCTTTGTTTGTCCTCCCTGGCCCGCCGCCCCCCTCCGGATCCCCTGCCCCTGCCCACCCTCCACTCGTACACAGGTGTATTGGCTCCATGTAATGAGATCATTACCAGCATCGTCGGCGAACGTGTTTATTTGGCAAACGGAGCAGCCGGCTCCTTCTCTCTCCTGATCTGCAACCAAAGAGGCATTTAACTAAAATAAGCTCTGCAGTACAATTGGGCAATCAGAAGTCAATTCAAATCATTACAAGGCCTGAGGGGCAAACACGTCGAGTTCCTACAATCCTCCTCCGCCAGAGCTGAAGTTGTGCTTGGGAAAACACAGGAGCAGCACAGTTAATGAACTGACTGCAGGACTGTGCAGAAATGTTGGGTCACAATGGAAAGACTGAAGTAAGGGGGGGGACATAAAACTGATGGAAAAACATTAGAGAAGCCCAAAAATATTTAATGAAATTGTACATAACATTTAAATATGGTTTGCTGCCCATGTGGTTTGCTTCTGGTGGGTTATTCCACAACAGCTGAGTTAAATGCAGGCACACCTGCTGATTTATTTGAAACACACTACTCGCTGGTAGGACATCATAAAAAAACAAATAAAATGTACGTTCTTAACAAGACCCATTGTTTTGTAGTGTGGAGAGAAGGATTTTAACTTTCACCATGGCTAGAGCCTTCAGCTGGATTCAGAAAAGTTGATATGGAGACAATCAAAAATAAAATCACAGAAAGCTCTTGAGGTGGATGAGACGAGTGTGTACTTGCGAATGTAAACAATCAGCCCGGTTATCAAGTGTGTAAACACTGGTGTTAGAGAACAGTGGTGTATTTATTTCCTGCAGATCAGCTCCAAGTCATGCACATGCAGGCTGTAGACACCTTGTTTTGTTTTTTTTGTTGTTTTTTTTAAATGTCTTTCTTTGCTTAATGTAATGGGGACAGTAATACAACGTTCTGAAGTTGTATTAAGAGGTTGAATTTTCAAACAACAAAGTAACTCCAAATACGACTCCCAACAGCTGATTGAGTGATATTTGCACCTGTTCCATTGGCTGTTGTGAGTTCTTTTGGGGGGTTTTTACCCAAGAAGCACAGAAAAACCCAACTCTCTGACTCTTTCTGACTTTTAAGATCCCCTCTAATTCCCCTCCACTGGTCCAAGAGGAGGAAGATGTCACCCCAAAAGTGGAATGTATGGTTGGTAATTACAGCCCAAGGTTGAGCTGTTCCAGGCGAGAGCACTGGAGTGCTTCCATTACCCCTCCTTGTCCCCTCCTGCCTCCTTCCTGCACCCCCCTTCTCTCCTATGTTGTCATCTGACTGGGGACCCATCCTCCTCCCTCCTCTTTCTCTGACCCTCTGTGTCAACCTCTAGCTCCCCACAAAGTCTCTCATCATGGCCTTGCACACCACACTGGACACCGTCGGTCCGCGGGTCTCAAATAGAGAGAAAGGGACGGTGGCAAAGTTAGACGAAAGCAAACTGGATCCCACCTGTGCAGACCCCTCGAAGGCTATTCAAGCACCTAGATCTGTTGAGCACCGTCATCAAAAATCCCCCCAATCATGTAACTTTCATCCCCTCATCATGTACAGACTATAAACCCGGTAGATCTATAAACTACTTGACTACACACAATAACTTCACACTCCGTTTTATTTTACCTACAGCCTTTAATCACATATATGTATTCTATCCTCTCCTACTAACCACTTCCCTTCTGCTATATTAGAGCTTTAATTATTATTACTATTGAGGAGCTCTGTGCCAGCAGCATGATGTGTTTTCCACGTTGGTCTTCATAGCAAATTTGATCTAAATCTAATTAAGTTGAACAATTTGACTAACCAAACCTGTTTTCATTATGCTGCCAATAAACACATTCGTCAAAAAGGCCATGAAAAAAATAAAATAGAATAAAATACAAGCACTGATTTGCTGGTGATTCTGAAAAGAC